AATTCCATCAATTCCTAATAAATCTTACAAGAATTCGCTTCATTTTCCCTATATAATTCCCTTGGAAAAAATCCACATATTATGAAGTAAATTCCTGTGGACTTCTGTGAAGAATACCAAGGTGTTTATCTTGAGAGAAAATCCAATGGATATCTTTCAAATTAAACACCTTGGTATTCTTCACAGAAGTCCACAGGAATTCGCTTAATAATAACCTAGGAATTTTGTTCAGATTCCTTTCTGAATAAAATTCTAAGGATATTATGAAGTGAATTCCTGTGGACTTCTGTGAAGAATACCAATGTATTTAACCTGAGAGGTAATCCAATGGATTCCTGAGGAGTTTATTCCCAGGGAATTCTGAAGAGAAAGTGAAGCGAATTCTTGTAAGATTTATAAGGGATTCGAAGGGAAATGTAGAACATATATCAAAAGTGTTGTACAGAGTATCATTAGTGTTATGAAGGGAATATCAGAGAGAATCCCGAGATTATTCTTTTGGAAGTCTGGAAAGAAATATGTGAGATATTGAAATATCCCTCAACAGATTGAAATATCCTTCAACATTTCTATGCGTTTATTCTGAAAACACAAATATTTTTCAAAACACTAAATATCAACTTCTTTAGATTTCAAAGATTTTCTTAATTTTTTATTCAGAAATCCTTAAAACTCTTCCATGTTATTCGATTCTCTTTCGATTTGATTCTGCCATGAACTGCTTTGGAATCATGTTTAGATTTTCCTTAGATTCCTTTAGTGACAACCGGAAAATTTTTCAGCTGCTCATGGTAGTTAAATTACCTTCTGGCTACGCATATGTCCAGAGTCCAGAAGCTTTAATTTTCCTGTGAGATTCTAAATTTTCATCGGCGGTCGGTAAGTTGACCTTTTTATCTGCTACTGCTTCCAGCACTGTAGTTGCCCACTTCGAAGGCGTGAATTTATATAAAAAATAGGACTCCTAATTAAATAGAACAGCAACTCCATTTCAGAACTATTGATTGAAATTTAAAAAAAGTATATATTAACGGTCACCATATAAAGGAAATCAAATAAATTGAAGCAATTCGACGAAATCTTTACTCAAAAGAAACCAAACAGCTGCTTTGAGTGTCTATTGATAAACGAGGCGAGGGTGCCTGATAAAGGTTCATATATTGCTTTTGTTTTGAGCTGTCTTTCTTGGTTGATTAACCAGCACATGAATTAAATTTTGGTTGGTTCGTCATTGAATTGATAGCAGTCATTGAACACTTTTTGCGATATGCTTAGTACGAAACATCCAGGGACTGATTGCAGTCCAAAAATCAATTTGCACGTAAAACCGAAGCCTAGTTCAGATGGCAACAGGTGAATAGCGACATCCTTGGACCATTCTTTTAAGCACATACAATAAGGACTTATTTTAGATCCGGATAGAGACTACATTACACTTCTACTCAGCGATGGAGTTAGTACACCGGTAGAGAAAGTTACCGATTCATGCAAGCTGCATCTACCGGATTGGTTCGATGAGGCAAAATTCAAACGGTGAGTTCAGTACCTGCTGCCATATTCAAAGCTCATTCATCATGTCGGAAACAATTTCAGTGCCCAACAATTCTACCGCCGCAATGTGTATGCCATAGTGGCAGCCATGCTGTACGGGACAGTTACCGTGATGGCACTGCCATCGGTTTTAAACGTGTTGATGTTCACCAAGCGATCGTCGAGTGTTCTCACGGCGTACCGGCGTTACATGGCTACGCTTTTGTATTTTGTAGGCTGGTACACGGAGGATCTGAAACCGGGAACGAGGTTTGTACTGAACACAGAAGAAATAGCCTTTGGTGTTGCAATTTTGATTAATTTTCCAGAGTCTGGAAATCAATTGAAAGTGTGAGAAGAGCTCATTCGAGTACTAGTAAGCGAACGAACTTGAAGATACCCGGCATGACGATCTCTCAGCGCGATATAGTGGCGGTGCAGTACTCCTTTGTAGGGTGAGTCGACGGGTGTCGTGACGTCACTCAATCGATAGATCGATGATGGATTGCTCGGTATGAACTTTAACCCTTGATTTGGCTATAATTTCAGCTACTGTGCACTAAGCCCACGAATGCTGGGACTCCAATTCAGCACCGCAGATATGGAAGCATTCATCCATTTCTGGCGTGTCATCGGATACATGTTGGGAATAGAAGATAGGTAAATAGAAGAATCGCTTCTTTCACACAAACTGACCAATATTCACAGGTACCATCCTTCAGGTTCAACTGCTGCACTGCTGACCCTTCGTCATCTCGAATCCGGATGCAGCAAATCCAAGACCAATTGTTCTTGCCGGCACTCAGCAAGGTTGGGGAAGATTTTCACCGGATGTCCAAATACATGCTCGATGGCATGTGGTACTTCAACGTGTTCCTCAACCCAGATGCGATACTGTACATGACCAATCGGTTGACCGGAGTGCCCGGATATGGTTATCCTGACAAACTGCTGGGACGATCACAGTGCGCAGCATATGAAAAGCTTAGTTGGTACAGTCGAGCGATTCTTTGGGTACTGGTAAAGACAAATGATGTTAACTTGAGCATTGCTCCACTTCGGTGGTTTCATAATGCCCTGGTTTCCATTTCGGTGAAAATTGGAATTCAATATTTTCCATTGCCAGCAATTGTCCGGTTTGGCTACAAGAATGCAGTTGTCAGAATATAAGGCAAATAAAAGGACATGTGATAGATGACCTACGAACACCCAAACGCATATTCCTACACAATTTCATTATCCTAGTTTTATTGTAATCGCTTCATTTCCATAGCAATGGGCTTTGTCATACATTTTCAATTCCATGTTCTCTAAAAGCAATCATTCCTATTAATCCTACACTGCCGCTTCGTTTTGGTGAACGTTATAAATCCCTGCGCATTAAAACCATCGTTCGATCGTGTGCTTGTAATTCGCCTAAAAACCTTTAACTTGAGCGTCAACTTGGAGCTTCAACAAATTTGGAATGTTTTCCAACGTTAGGTTTTACTTTGTTGTTTAGATTTGACTACACCGACTACATCTTGCTATATACCGAACAAAAAACAACACATTGAATTACGCACAGTAATCCGGTACGGTTCTGTTGTTAATGTTTTAGTTTGTTTTACCCTAAATAGTAAATTGTTATACAAACATTCAGTTGATTTCCGTATTTGTATGTTAAAAGGCTTACTGTTTAATCCAAGCTCTTTGGACTGCGGGTTAGGATATTGATTCGTTTAGATGCGTCGACGAGCAGGATCCGTTGGTTGAACCGTTTCGTCTGATTTATAGGAATACGTGTATGCTGTTCTGATAGGTAAATTTGTATCAAAACACTGTTCATTCGAAGCTGAGTACGGATATAAACACTAAATAGGTCCTCTAGGGTATAACGGTTAGGGGACAGATGGGTTAGTACTGGGTGCACAGAGTTCAATAGGCAAACTCTTCTTTAGTATTACTGGTTCTGATTATGAGTCGAACAAAGCTTTGATAGGTTTCAATGAGATGGCAGAGAAGCGAAAGTATCGTAGTAGATTCGATTTGATATAGTGTCAATAGTGAATCATAGTTTAGGACCTATAATTTTACTTTTCATAAATAATGTATGATACTCATTATCGTAAATGAACAGTCTATCGCAGAATGATGAATTTAAAATTATTTGAACGTTTCTCGTCAACCATGGATTGAAATCATCGGTAGAGGTGTTAGCCACAGTGTTCCATCTATATATTAAGCCATTTCATAACAGTGGTTTCCAAAGTTTATTCGTACAAGTAGGTATTCAAATGCAAAAACCCAAGATGGTCCCTGGGGTTTGGATCAGTAAATGTATTACAAAAAAAAACAGTTATAGCAGCTTGAAAGAGCATCCTAAGGGATCTATAGTATTGAGAGCAGATGCTACAGTGAGTCGTCAATTGGCATAATGCTTAAAATGAGTAAAATTATCCAGCGCAATCGACTCAAAATCAGGTCCTTTCTCAAGATAATGCCGCATAAACATGCAACCCAACTAACAATTTAACTGCAGAACAGCTAGAGTCCGGCAGTGTAAAAATTGAACAGAAGTTGGAATTGAGCAAAGGGCCATTAATGCGACAATACTAATCAAATGCGCACTACTTTACCTAACTCATACTTTGATGGATGAGTGGATTTGAGGAATGTCCTCAAATCCATAGGTGCGTTTGACTTGCTCATATGCTATCTGCGGCTGTGAAATATTTCTAGTGACGTTTATCACTACCTAAAGCCCCACGTTGCCGAAAGCATTTCCAGGCAATGGTATAATGCAACTATTCTTTACCCAATTGTTTTGCTTCTCTCGTCATGACCAACATAGTAGTCATCGCAGAGAGAAGCAGTAGGGTTGAATTTATTCGACTGTTCCGTAAGCCTTATGACTTCCGACTTTCTCCATAAATTTCTTTCAATCTACCTTAGGAAGTTTCGTCCTGCAGGAACTATCGAATTCCCCTAGAAGTTTATTTCGTCTTACTCTGGATGTTTCTGCATAAACCATTCTCCGAAGTCCGTAGACTTTTTTTTTCAACTTCTATCGGATGGTTTTTCCGAGCTTCTACGGGCCTGGAAATGGCTAGTGTTGGAATTTACTTCCGATTCCCGAAACTTGTCTGGCTACCTCTGTATGTGTCATCCTAATGATTCCGAAAGTTTCTTTAAATTTTCACCAAAGGTTTCTCAATATTTGTCTTGGAAGTTCTCTGGATTTTTTTCCAACTTTTCTTAGAATGTTCTGCAAACTTCCTCTAGAAGTGCTTCTTTATTCGTTCTCTGGAAGTTTTTTCGGCTTCCTTCATAAGCTAATTCAAATATTCCCCGGACATTTCTTCCGACTTATCTTGGAAAGTAAATTTTCCATGCTAAGTTCAAATGTTTGATTTTTCGCCTTACAAAAAAAAAACGGCAAAAATATGAAAAAAAATGACATTAGTTAAAATAGTCAAAAATAAAAATGACATTAGTTAAAATAGTGAATACCGATAAATAAATAAATACCGATTACAGCTTACCGATAAGCTTGAAAACAATCTGGCAACGCTGCTTCAGTGTCAGCCTTAGTCGTCAGCGCCGGCACTCGACGTTTTGCTGAATACTAGGTCCACACCGTTATCCTCTTGGTCCATATCGACGTCTACGTCTACATCAGCAGTAGTAGAAGTTCAAATCAACGAGAATCATCTCAAAATCCTGTCTCGGAGCCTTATGGCTTTTTTCGTTTTCACCAGTATCGCTTTCAGTGCCCACCAGAGTATTGTTCACAATAACGAGCAAGTAGAAGTGCTTTTCGTGGAAACATGTCTCAGCCAAAGCTTGCTCACAGCCTAGTTCTACGAGAATGTTACGTTTCGAATGCTTCACCTCAAGTGACAACCTAACGCTTCTTTGCCATTGATTTAGAATCCAGTGGGTTGTTTCATGTATCGTTCATCTTCTAGCGCTCCATGCAGACAGATAGTCTTCAGGATCAGGTATCGTTTACTAACATCGGTCAGCGTAGTTTGCTTTGTCTCAGGGGCAAATACCTCATCTTGCTAGTTCATCAGAAACCAACGCAAATTCCCTTGAAAGATATTTGATTTTCTTTCTAAATGTTTGTAAATTTCCCAAAAAAAAGAATAAAATGTTGTCCTCTGAACATTTTTCAAAGAAAACGACACATTTTTTATTGCGAATATTCATTCCGAACAGCCATTCATACGTCAAGGGACTGACCAATTAAGAAGCAAAGACTGTTAAGAATAAACTTCCGCTTCGGAAACCACTGTCGCTAATCGTACTCTCATCAAATATTGATCGGAAAATCTCATGGTGCTCTTAAATCCAGTGCCGCCACTAGCTGCAAAACAATGCCACCATCTTTTTACGCGCGTGTCTGTATCAAAGCAAGTTCGAATTTGTCGCTGATTTTTCCAAAACTACAAAAAATCAACTCCGTAAGCAATGATATAAGTTACATTTATCACAATTAAACCACTTCGCACAGTTCTGTTTGATTTCATTTCCAGATCGTGTTTCTTTTTGTTTGTAGTTTTGTTAATTTGTCATAACCTACCGATGAATATTTGTTATACATAGCTTAAATAATCGCATTTGGTGGTGAAGGAGGGGGGGGGGGAGGGGGATGAGGGGGTTATTGGGGTATACTAATCCTAATCAAACACTAATCGATAATCGATATTCAGTTTTGCTGCCTTCAGCATACGTTTGTGTTTTGCTTACTTTGTTGAATGTGGATTCGAATTTCAACAAATCTACTCTGTAATAGGGCACAATCGTTCTATGCGATTCTAGCTGTATAATTTAGCGACCTACGGTCGATTCTGTTACTACTCACAGTATCCTAAAAGTTTATTGTGCTTCCCTCGGTGTAGTTTATTTGGCTGAGTTACCACCATTCCCTTCGCCATTGTGGTAGAATTTTTCAAGAATTAAAAATTCAATCGCGGCACTAGATTGCTGAAGTTTTACGCTTGAGGAGTTGTAGCCGTCGATGACAGGTTGAATTCGTTCCTGCGTCGCAGAACCACCGATAGGAGTAGTTTCAGCAGTGCCGATAAGATGCTTCGAAGCGAAGATGTCGACGGTACTGCCACCAGCGGCCAAAGCCAGCGATGGAACCTGTCAAAGAGCCGATTGGTGCTGGCATAGTTAGGCGTTGGCGAGGGGAATGCTAGCGAATCTTAGATGGCGGTTCCACTCCGTTTGGCCACCAGGATATCATTGTGCGACATGACAATGCCACCAATCAGCGAGACCACGGCCCGGTCCAGCCAGGTAACTGGGTTCGGGTAGATGAGACCACCTTCATAGAAACCTAGATGACCTCCGTTGGCAAGCTCGATGTAAAGCGATTGGTTTTGCGTTGCTGTGAAGAGACGGAATTTTGCAGATTACACTTCAAAGGAAGTCTATTTAACGCTTACTTGTAAACTCCTTGATCGGATGCAGCAACATATCTGGTACCAGTGGATCATCTTTGGCGTTTACAAATACCATCGGTCGCTTGATGTTGACCAGATAGTTGAGCGAACTGCTCCAGCTGTACATCTCTTTGATGTTGGTGAAGTTGTGCACCCGCCTGGTGTAGGCCTCATCCAGCTCCGGCAACGTAGCTGCCGCTGCAATATCTCGTTCGTTCAGCTGATATCGTTGTTTGATGTCGTCCGATAACAGAACATGCCGATGTTTCATGATGATACTCTTCACGTTCTCAGTCAGAACGTACAGATAGAACCGGTGGAAATTTTGCCACTTAAGTAACCACTGTGTGGCGCTGGAATCGATAAAGAAGGAAAACATCAAATTTATCACTATTCAAACGGTTCCAATTTCGTTACACTTACACCACAGCGTTATAGCCCTGGCAGATGGAGATTCCACCGATGATGTTCTGGGGTCGGACAGCCTCGCCCAGGTACTTGGATATAAGATTACCGCCCAGCGAGAAACCAACGGACACGACATTGGTCGTCGGGTACTTCTTCAACAGGTTGTTAATCATCGCCGAATAGTCGTCGGTATGGCCTGCGTGAGGAAAATGGGACCGGGAACACCCAAGAGAAAGATATTAAGGCAATTAGCATCAATTATAGGTCTACTGTTCGTCGTTTGTTTGACCAGGGCGTGTTAAATTGATTGAAATGCGTCGCTGTCGACGTTGGGTGTAGTGTTACCAGCACTAACCCTCTGCTGCCCAAACCCACACAAATCGGATTGTTTTACGAATGTTGTGTAAGTGGTTGGAAACTATTTTTTTAACATTTGGAAAACATTGGTTGAAAAATAATTTTGTGAAGTTGTGTGTTGAAAAAATATTTTCTATGGTTTTCATAAAAAAAACTATGAAATTATCTTCAAAGATAAAATTCCATAATAATGACCAAACTTAACATTTTTTCTGAAATTTTGACCAGTTCTATTGTCATCTGACCAAGTTTGGTTAGCTAAAATTGCTATAGATAATAAAAATACAATCATTTTTTTCACCTTACCAAGGCCTTTTGAAGAAAGCATGTGGAATCGAAAAATGGGCAGCTTAGGGTTAAATTAATTTGTATAAGCGACTCATTCATAACAATTCTACCATCGCACAGACCTTTAATCCTGAACGAATTTAAGGGAAAAGTAACTTTATTGATTCGTTTTTCCTCCCCCACTGGGAAGCTCTTATCAAGATGAACTCAACTCCCCTTGTGCATGTATTTATGCATGCCAGATCCCGACAGACGTGAAAAGTTCATGGGCATACACGAGTCGGCCGGAAAATTGAATTGATTCCTATCGTAGATAGCTTTAGGTGCACGTGTTCTCCTTTAACTTTACTCAGGGTGGCAAGTGAAATATTTCCTGGTTTTAAAAACCATGTAGGGGAATTTACGTATTCTCGGCAACCTAAGCAGCGACCTTCTTTCTATAGCCTTTTTCTCTAAGGAACGGACACATATGCAGTATTGGTTTGTTTACAATCTTTTGCTGCCAGCTGTTCTAACAAGTTCAGTCGAAAGAATGGTCAAAAACTGTTTTGAATCGCTTTTACAAAGCTCCAATCTTCTCTAGTGAGAGCGAGTATTGTCGGCAACCAGTTTTTCTTCGGCAACCGTTCCATTTGAACTGCATGTAAATTGTAGTGCGTGTGTTGCATTTCAAGAAAACCTTGCTAGATTGCTTTTTCTCAGTGGTAAACATATAGTCAAATTGAAGCTGAAAGCATAAAGAATCGTTTGCATGCATTTAGCGAAGTGTTTTCATAAGAAAATCCAGTGAAAATAGTGTTTCAATTTGTGTTGCCGAAAATAGTATGTCATGCCGAAGCCGTCATTTCCCCTATTAAAAAAACAATTTTTAATAAAAAAAAAAAAATAAAGTGAATCTTTGTACCATCATTCTTCATGCAATGCGGAATTTCACAAACCAAAATAGGTATTAAGGTTCTTGTAAATGCCGTGAAATCTTTATCTGATTTGTTTACAATCTTTTGCTGCCAGCTGTTCTAACAAGTTCAGTCGAAAGAATGGTCAAAAACTGTTTTGAATCGCTTTTACAAAGCTCCAATCTTCTCTAGTGAGAGCGAGTATTGTCGGCAACCAGTTTTTCTTCGGCAACCGTTCCATTTGAACTGCATGTAAATCTGCTGTTCTATTATCGGCAACTCGAAATCAGCTACAATTGTAGTGCGTGTGTTGCATTTCAAGAAAACCTTGCTAGATTGCTTTTTCTCAGTGGTAAACATATAGTCAAATTGAAGCTGAAAGCATAAAGAATCGTTTGCATGCATTTAGCGAAGTGTTTTCATAAGAAAATCCAGTGAAAATAGTGTTTCAATTTGTGTTGCCGAAAATAGTATGTCATGCCGAAGCCGTCATTTCCCCTATTAAAAAAACAATTTTTAATAAAAAAAAAAATAAAGTGAATCTTTGTACCATCATTCTTCATGCAATGCGGAATTTCACAAACCAAAATAGGTATTAAGTTTCTTGTAAATGCCGTGAAATCTTTATCTGATTGTTTGCTATAAAGAAGCTAGTAGGGAGCCGCGCTACTTCGTCGTATCATGGCGCCTATTTCCGTTCTATGTGCTAAAACTATAATAGCAAAGCGTTTTCACTCATGTTTTTGCAAAAACATCTTTGGTTACAAGAATAATTACGATTGACACTGAAACATTTGCGATAACCCGTAAAATGAGCGATTTTAGGGGTGTATGACGAAGAAAAGCTGAGATACGACGGACTAGCGTGGAGCCCTATCTAATGTCTAAAATTTAGAGATCTATAAGCCCCTAAATCTTGAGATTTTTGTTTTTGAAACTACGATTTTTTTAACTTTATTAGTGAGACTTTTAGCCAACGGGCTAGTTTATCTCAAGGTGAAATTGCGAAGTGTACTATGGATGAGAACTCTTTAAACAAACCTTTGCTTCTAACAATTTTACGGATTTCCAGTTTGTTTAAATTTTCCTTATTTAGCGGAATTTTGATTACAACATGATTTCAAAATCATTTCATAAACAACGCTGGTTTAATAACTCTTCTTATTTTAAAAAAGACTGACTGCTGAAGTTCATAGAAACTCCCAAAAGTTCGTAGAACTTCCCTGAAGCGTTAAGGTCTTTCCTGAAGGGTTCATTGAAGTTTTTATTGCCTGAATTTCTTTTTCCCCGAAGTTCAAAGGACTTTTTTTAAGATCTTAGGACTTCCCTGAAGTTCGGAGTTTTTTGAAATTCGTAGGAATTTCTTAAATATCGTAGAAGTAACACGAAGCTCGTAGAAGTTCTCAGAAGTTCGTAGGACTTCCTTCAAGTTCGAAGAACTTTCTCGAAGATCTGAGGACTTCCCTGAAGTTTGAAGGACTTAACTGAATATATGAGGACCCTAAATTTAGAAGAGCTTCCCTGAAGTTCATAAGGCTTTAAATATCGAAGGGTTTTCCAAAAATTTGTGGGTCTTTCTTTAATTTCTTGGAAATTCCCCACTAGCGTGCACAGGAATCTTGTTAAGGAGGGGCATTTTTTTTTTCTATGGTGCTTTAATCTTGGGATGGGGAGTACTCCAAAGTGCGTGGGGGATGGTGCTGTCCACCCACCACTGTTTCCCTACTGTTCAATTTAGCTAATTTTATTTATTTTTTCCTCCGGTGGTGGTTCATCTTCTTCAATGCCCTTCAGACAGCCAATGGAAATTTTCAATTTAATCCCATCGGCGATGTCATATATTTGCAGCATGATACATTTGCAGCAATGTTGTTGTTCAAACTGCGCATAGCAGTGAACAAACAGTATATTGCTTTTGATCAATCCAATCTTGATCAGTATGTGGTGTTGAGTACTTGGCACTGATGAAGTCTGCAAGTATAATAGTAGATAAAATACGCGTATCTGTCAAAATATAAGCAATCATAACGGAATTAAAAGGAAATAAACCAACACACTCAAAGCTCTTCATAAAAGTATATTGCTGTTTTTGTTCTTGAACTTGGCTTGTACTTCAGCAGTGCTGCCAGCCATTGTTCTGGCACCGTCAAAACATACTGCCATTACCTGCTCCCAAGAAATCTGCATCGCTGTCAGGATCTCAGCAATAGTATTGAAGATGGTCGTTGCGTCTGTTTTCAACACCCGTCCCACACCTACGAATGTTTCCATCGGCCGATCATTATCAATATACCTGATGACAATCGCAAACTGCTCGCAAGGTTTTCGCAATGTTCCGCAACATTACATTCAGTTACCTTTCTCTTTTGAAATTCTTCTCAGAAGTCATCTGGAATTATTTTTTGAACTTTTCTTAACTTTTACTCATAACACCTTGGAACTTAAATTCCCTTAGAGTTTCAGAAGAATTTCCTGAGTATTATCCAGAAGTTATTCCCGGAATGAGCTAGAAATTATCGGTACTCCCTTGAAGTTTTTCTCATAATCCCTTTGGAATTTCACTCAAAATTTAATTTTCTCGGTATTCTATTCGGAATAATCTTGGAACAATCTGCAGGATTCACTAGAAATCATTCGCAGAATTTTCTTGGAACACTCCACAGAAATCCTTTCAGAATTCAATATCCTTGAGGTTCTTCTCGGATTTTGTTAGAACTTTCCTAAGAGCTCTTTTGAAATTCTTATTGAAACTGACATTCCTTTAGAGTTTCAGAATTTTTCCTGGAATGAGCTAGAAATTATCCTCTAAATTCACTTGAAATTTTGCTTAAAATCCCTTTGGAATTTCACTCAAAATTTGATTTTCTCGGTATTTTTTTCGAAATTATCTTGGAACTATCTGCAGGATGCATTAGAAATTATCCACAGAATTTTCTTCGAACTCTCCCCAGAAATATTTTGGAACTGTCCTAAGAATTCAATATCCTTAAGGTTCTTCTACATTACAGGAATACATTAGAACTTTTTTTTTCTCAGAACACATTGGAATTGAAGTTCCCCTAAAGTTTCAGAAGAATTTCCTCCGTATTCACCAAAAATTCTTTTCAAGAATGAGCTTGAAATTATTCTCGGGATTCCCTTGAAATTTTCCTCAAGATCCCTTTAGAATTTCATTCAAAATTTGATTCTCTCGGTATTCTTTTCGAAATTATCTTAGAGCTATCTGCAGGATTCACTAGAAATTATTCGCAGATTTTTTATGGAATCATCCCCAGAAATCTTTTCTTTTGGAACTGTCCTCAGAATTCAATACCCTTGAGGTTCTTCTCGGAAGTCAAGTTTAAGTTGTCCGTCTATTCACCAAAACGTTGTAGTTTTTCTACCAGAAATGTTCAATAAAGCTTGCCCCTCCATTTACCAGAACTGTGCAATTATTACTTCAGGAATTTTCAATTCAGCTTGCCCCTCCATGCAGCAGATTGTTGCAAATCTTACACCAGAAATTTTCAATATAAACATGCCCCCAGAAAATTTTACATCAGAAAATTTCAATTGACCAGAACGATGCCAATTTTCCACCGTTAATGTTCAATAAAAATTGCTTCTCCAATCTTCTGATTGGTGCAGATTTCCTTTTTCCATTTTCCACCCGACA